GAGGAGGAGGAGGAAGAGGAGGAGGAGGAAAGTGAAAATGTGGCATAGACTGTGAATGTACATCAGAGAGAAGTACAGAAGTGAATTTAAGAAGGGGTACAAACCTAGGATACATTTAATCAAGGACGAGAATGGGGATCTGCTCGCGGAATCACATGGCATCGTAGACAGATGGAGAGATTACTTTAGTAAGTTACTAAACGTTCACGTAGCTGACCAATTTAATGAGCCTGAAGTACATACAGCAGATTGCCATGAAGTTAGTAATTACGATAGCTAGAAAACCAAAGGTCCCAGCACAATGCAATTGGCAATCTGGTTTTTTAGTGAAAACTATACTTGAAGGGGAATGAACATGGATCAAAGCAGATCGACAGGTTCGCGGATGTACTGAAGTATCTGGAAAATAGTTTGCAGATACAAAGTTAATAAATCTACTAACCTGATCAGCCCAAGGAGTGACTCAAGCGATCCAACATGTAATCCAGAGATTTCAGGACGCAGCGAAACATCCCTCCAGAGACGAGTGTCATACGCAATCACTCGCCATTTCTTACAGACACGCGCCATCCGGCAGATCTCACGGTGTGACAGATACGAGAAGATGTTAAGAAGAACTTTGTCTGGCAACTTCTCTATCGTCTGCAAGAGAGAGAGAGCAGTTCAGTCACACTTGTGTTCCGTGACATACGAATTACACAGGAAGATGGTGGAGAAGTTCTTGAAGGGATCCGTTAGGATACTGAAAATAAAATTAAACTCAATTTGTAACACAACAGGTGACACGCGTATTTTCCAGCGTGGTAATGTTGAGCTTGTACCTCGATCGATAAGTTTGATACAGGCCAACACAGTGCAGAGTTAGAGCCGGGTGATGTCCACTAGAGACCTTCAGACTTTGAGTCATGACGGGAGGAAAATCCATGTACTAACCAAGTGCTACGGCCTTATCTTTGCTCGAAAACACGTTGACAGTCATTAATTTAGTTTCCTTAATCTCATTCACATTTAACCTTGCGTATTCATCAATCCACGGTGGTCTAGTGGTCAGAACACTAGCCTTGTAAGCTTGGGGGCCCGGGTTCAATTCCCGGCGGTGCTCAAATTTATAACTTGTGTTGGGTAAGGCCGTGGTCTAGGCATCACGGAGTTTTCCTCCGGGGGCTTCCCCAGTTTCTCCGTGGCATCCCAACAATTACTCCACTCACACACAGAAGAAGGCAATGGCAAACCACTTCTGATCATCTCTGCCAAGAATGTATATATGTATGAGCAGGTCCCTGACAACCTGAAGAGGTTGGAAGGATCCTGTTCATAATATATGGACCTGTCGTCAGACAGAACACTACAAATAAAAAAAAATTCATCAATATTCACGATGTATTCAGAATCCATATTTTTTTATCTCGATAATAAAAGCCAAACGTTGAAGTTTACATGATTTGTTAGAGATACGTGAGGAATATATTAAAGCAAAATTTTCCTTTATTAATAAATAAAATTCAAGTACTTTTAAAACTAAGTTTGTTAGGTTGCACTCAGTGGTATATACAATAGCAGTTCACTTTTGATGTCAGCCTGCCTTGCCTTGATACGTCTCATAATAAAAAGACCTGTCTTTATTTATTTCGATTTTACAACGCTGTTACATCGATTTTATTTTCACTCAGTATATTACACCACCAAATTTATCAGTTACACCTATTTATATTGCAGAAATACCTTAATTTATTTCGATAAAATAATGAAATCGATACGTCATTCCAAAGAGGTTAGAAATGGTAGAAAGTAGATGGGTCAGTATCCTAATTTTCTTCAGATATATTGCAGCAAAATAATACAGAACAAAACGAAGCTGTAGTCTATTTCAGTGACTGAAGATGGATCACATATTCCTGCAGCCAAAGTTAAACAAGAAACTCACCGTGTTGAAAAATGGACTCCTGTAGGTTGTGCCGTCTGTCACGTATAGTTGTGCTGACTCACGAGCTACCTGCCCCCACACCTGTTACAGCCACAAATGTCAGCACAAAATGCAGACAGGAACCGGATACTATATTCACTCTACACTCAAATGCTACACAAGGCTTTCAACAAGTCGATATATAAAAAAAGACTAATTTGTAAATAACTGACGTAATGCAGACACTACAAATTTTACTTAGGTTTATCTGGTACATACTTCCACGTACTAAAGTGATTTTTTCCTGTAATTGTTAGTGGTTTCTCCGCCTTGAACCAAAAATTCACAAAGAAGGGAAATTTCTGCAAATGCTACATCAGAAATCAATAATCAATAAACTATGATTACATACCTCGATTTTAAATGAGCTTGCAGCATCACAAGGTACACTCAAATATAAAATTGTGACTCCTTTTCACATTTATAAATTGCGCAGTTGTCTGCCAATATTAATACACAGAAACATTAATCAAGTAAACTCATATTTTAAGGATTAATACTGTCCCAAACAGATGATTAAGTAGACAGACACACGAAAGTAATATTTAAACAAGGAGCTATGAGAAGAAAACTGACGAATATTTTCTCTCGAATACATTTAGGCTACCTGAAAACTGTAACGTAATAGTAATTTATTAATTCATATCTGCGTGTAATTGGCGAAGCTCCGTATGGCTTGAATGCACAGCGAGACATGTATAAATGGACGATTACGACACAAAATCTTTACAGTATAACGCAACAATGACACTGGAAAGACGCTAACATTAACAAGTGACTGCTGGCATGTTTCATATTTCACTTCAGCACCCGATTTACAGACCAGGATTTGACTCTTTACAATGGTCACTACGTGTTCGGACTACTTAATCTGGCTTACGCTGTTTCGCATCGTCACCATGTTTGTTATTATGTATAACATTAAAAAAAATATTTCGAACAGTGTTTATGAATATGTTTACGACATTCATTAATATATTATCAACAATCACCATCAAACCGAGAATAAATACGGAATTTTCCCGCCTCTCTTATCGTTTCAGGCTTTAAAAATTGTGCTAGGCCTAATGAAAGTTTCATATTGACCCCTGATGTAGCTGCTACCTCAGAATTTCGGACGGCCGCCATGTTTCTATTATTGCTGGCAGGAAACTGTTAAGTACAATACCACGGCGGCGTCTATAATAATACAAAGATGTTCGCATTAAAATCTGTCATTTAGTTCAAACGTTATTACGGAGGGATTGAAAAAGCGAAATGGTGCCATAAGCCTGTCTTTTATGGAGAAAGGAAAACGTATCACCAGCTCGAAGCACTTCGAAGAAAGAAATAGCATCACACCAACAAGCTGCCAGCAAGCCTAAGCAAGCGCGACGAAGATTTGCAGGTGGCAGGTTAGCGGGGCGGTTCCGCCATGCCCTTCTATTCGGGCGACATTTGTTTCGAACCTCAGCTTCTTTTAAAATCCACACTTATGCAACATTCACGATTACCTCGCCGTATATTCGACGCTTCATAGCTTCTGTAGATAACGGATCGTAGTTTACAGCTAAATAATGAATCTACAATTTGCCGGTGTCAGGTCAGGCGACAATGGGGTAAAAATATCATAAGAAATGTGGCTATTGGTTTCTGCTTCATATTACATGTCAGGGGGGGAAAAAGAACTCCAGCCGAAAGTTCATATTTAAATAGAAACCCATATCTATAGGCCTACACATTTTGAAGCTGGTTTATGAGAACTTTCCGAAGGCTGTTCTCCGTTTCCTGAAATATTATATTTTAGGATTTATATCCATTCACCATGGTACTGTGAAAATGTAACAATTAAACACAGTGTTTTGCTAAAATGACATGACTTTCACCATCTCAAAATATCGTTAATAAGTTTATGGAGACAATGACTGTAGTTCGGGACGGAAGGGTTAAACACTACGTCACACACCAAACTACAATTATTGCAAAAACTAGTATTCAAGTCGTAACCAGCGCAATTAACAAACGGAAGTGTACACAGATCTAAAACATGTTTCTAAGACCTTCGTGGGGCATTATCACGAAACCACAAACGTTTTGAGTTCACCTCAGTAAAACTGCAGTGCCTTCATTATAAAATATCACAGAACCGTTTGCAAGCCTGTGTGTAGCAAATTGAGAATATTCACAATACTGACGTCTGCCCCTAGATCCATTATGTGCAGAGCGGATCACAACAAACACACCACCCTTCCCATACCACACACCGTCGTCAACTGGCGATCGGATCGCTCGCTGGACGAGTGCTGTCAGCTGAAGCTTGTAACTCGCCCCAGCCAGCCGGTGTACAGTTTGTTAGCTCCCCTACTGGCTTGCCCACACGACGTCACAAAAAAAAAAAACAGCGCAGACCGACCACACGCATCTTTCTGTGACTGGCTATATTCCAGGTTAAGAGTGATGGCGTTTGGGATCGAACTATGGACTTCTGTCTACCTGCCCATCACGCTTTGGAAATGAAAAGGTGGCTCTGATCTTCTTACAGTCAACTTGATGCGATTAATTTTTGTTTTACCTAAAAAAGACAAGCAGAAATACGTTACTCACCTGCACAAAGCATCGCAGCTGCTCGGCGCTGCTCACTGTCACTTTCAATTCAACTCTTTGGTTTTCAAGGATTTTTCTTGCTGTATACTTGGACACACTGACTTCGCCGTTTTTAACTCGGGACAGGTGGCGCGCACTGTGCGTGTCAGCCTAACCCTGTTTATACGCCGCTCATTAAATTATATATTAGCGGCAGTATTACGCCAAGCGAGAAAAATCCAAAATGAAAGTGTGTTGGTATAACATCGGCTTTATTATTCATTAAATAATTATTGGTATGGATTCATGTTTCAACCTAAATGACCATCCTCAGGTGATACGATTAAGAACTTAAAAAAACAAGTACATGTAATATAAAACTGCACAAAAAGTGTTTTTGTAAAAAGTATATTCTTTATTACATATAACACATTTACATGCACTTTTATATATTAAATTTACTTGCTGTTTTAAGTTATTAATCTTATCACCAAAAGATGGCTATTTAGGTTATGTTATGTATAATCAATACCAATAATTATTTAATAAATAATAAAGTTTATATTTTAGCAGAATACTTTCATAACGGATGCTTTGTATTGGTCGGGATACTACCACTAACACTTACGAAGATCAACAAGACGCTATCTTAAAATCTAATTCAGTTGTATATTTGACAGAATCAACACTTTCTTACCCAAGGCTTACAAACATTAATCTCTGATTTTCAATCATACTTAGTGTAACAGGGAGGAAGAATTCTTTCTGTGATGACTCATCACCCCGCTACTTTCCTATTTACACTTTCATCTGCAGTCATCTCATGTTTGTTCGTTTTACTGGGAATTAAATAAGTACATAAATATATGTTACCGTAAAAGCCCGACTGTTGGTGAAACCTAGGATTTACGAGACAAACCTAGGTTTTACCAAAGGCCTTAAAAACTATTCGCGTCTTATTTCGGGGTTTTACCATTCAATGTCATGAGCCGGGATAGCTCAGTCAGTATAGTGACTAGCTACGGGCTGGACGACCGGGGTTCGATCCCCCAGGGGGCAAACGATTTCTTTTCCTGTGTCCAGACAGGCTCTGGGGCCCACCTCTACAATGGGTACCGGGGGTCCTTTTTACCGGGGGTAAAGCCGGCTGGGGCGTGATGCTGACCACTCACCCCCATCTAGTGCCGAAGTTAAGGAAGAGAGGAGCTATACCTCCCCTCACCCCAAGCGCCTACATGGCGTATAGTGGGACAAACTTTACTTTTACAATTCACTCTTGGAAAAACCCCATATTCTACGGGAAGACTGTAGAAGTAAAGAGAAGTGTATAAATTTAGCAACTCAGTCTTGTAATCGACGCTTTTTTTTATATTTTAGGTTCCATAAATTACAACTTTAGAAACATACATTCCTTATCTAAGTTGCATTTTAAAAAAAGTTTAACAAAAGTAAAAATAACAGATAAAAACATTGGAAAAAATAGAAAAATTGTGATATAAAAAACATGAGACATTTCAATCATCAAAGTACATTTCTTTTCACTGCTGCTTCAAGACTTACTTGTTGGAATTGCATAACACACCAGAGGATTTGCACAAACACTTTTCTACTAACCTAACCTAACATAACCTAACCTAACATAACCTAACATAACCTAACATAACATAACCTAACATAATCTAACCTAACATAACCTAACCTAACACAACCTAACATAACCTAACATAACCTAACCTAACACAACCTAACCTAACACAACCTAACATAACCTAACATAACCTAACCTAACCTAACATAACCTAACCTAACCTAACCTAATATAACTTAACCTAACCTAACTTAATGTTTAGGAATCATATCACAATACTGAAACCAAGACGACTTATCCCTGTAACAGCGGCGGATCGTATCGATATGAGAGAGACTGAAGAAGATGCTGATGGTAGAAAACATTTTTTAAAAACATTTTTTCCAACGGAAAAATTAATGGCAAAATGCGGGAATAAGACGACATTTTGGACTTTGTTACTCACAGTACACACTTTTATTCCTTCAGTTCAACAAAATGTCTACAGACGAAAAGGCTCTCGGGAAACATTCAATGGATCAAAAGGTAAGTCAGACTAACAACAGGATGACGTATAAGTCATAAAATACTAAGCACACGGATAAGTACAATCTAAGACATTAATTAGGTTTCACAAACATAAAAATATTAAAATGTTACACCAAATCCACTGCTTTACAGCAGATATGGTAATTACTATAATTTATTCAATTTCAGTACAATAACATCTAAAAGGATTACGAGTTCCCTTTTATCTGTAGAAAAACTCTCAATATTAAGTTTCATGACAAACCGCTTCGTGGATCTCGCGTTCTTAGATGCTGTAGGCAATAGTTCAGACACAAAACCGACGAATTTAAGATAATTAACTCAAGATGTGGAAGGAATTTGACGTGACCGAATCTAATATCCATAGAATTTTCCCGGAAGACTGAGAAAATACACTAGAAACCTCAGACGTGATTGTCGGTATCTGGTCCGAGAATTGAACCTGGGACCACACGAATATAAAGCTGATAACTTGGCATTAGTTGCAGATATGGCGAAACTATTAGTGGCTGTTTTTACAATTTACAATTACCGACGAAGAGTTCATTAATAATAACACATGATTAAAATGCGAGCCAGCACAATAAACATTGGTCTCGCGTTGTCATAGCAACCAGAATTTCCCAGAATTCCTTAACGAAAATAAACGTCCTACCTAAAATCACAACTTTATATATATATATATATATATATTTAGTGTTCTGTCTGACGACAGGTCCATATGAACAGGATCCTTCCATCCTTTTCTCGGACTGGGACCTGTTCATATACGTTCTTGGCAGATGATCCAGAAGTGGTTTGCCATTGCCTTCTTCTGTGTGTATGGAGTAATTGTTGGCAGAACTACGAATCTAAAAGATATCTGTAATGATTCGACAATTTTTGCAACAGTGGCCAGATCTCATAAAAATTCCAAGTGTTTGTATCAAAGATTCACGTCCATAAACTGGTGTATTTAGGATCTGAGGTTTCACGGCGGTGAATACGAAGATGGCCGTCTTCAGGGTTGTTGCGCTGTGTAGTCTGGTAGATGTTTACCAACGTTTCAGAGGTCGTTTCTGCCCCCATCATCAGGGCGATCCAGGACCACTTTAGTGGGATTTGAGGTTCTCAGGGCCTTGTGACTTGCTGTGCTACGTAGTTTTCTGGTTGTACATCAACTTCACGGAGGATGCCCTGAAGATGGAGGCATCATGTTCTTCCTAAACGTTGGTATACATAAATGACAGTGTAAACGTGGACTTAATTCGGTTGTGAGCGGGAGGAAACTTGATATTTATTCTTCGTTACAAACGTGTACCGGAAATCAGCTGCTTTTTTGTTATTTCCTGTCAAAGTCAGAAAGAGGGACTGTCAGATAGCAGACTGGTCAGTTTGTGCTCGAAAGACTATTGTGCCAGACAAACAAAAGATATACAGCTCATGAAGAAACGATGTAATTTTTATGAAACATTTTAGCATCAAAGACCTTAGTTTAAACACCAATAACATTACATTAGATTCAGTGATTAGCAAATTTTAATATTAACTCATAATAAACGTAAACAAACTTCACTGTCGGCTTCTTAGCGCATTGCACCATTCTGTTGTTGTCAGAGTTCGCTTTCCGTCCTTCTTTTGTTGTTGTGACAACTTAGAGCCCCGAAATTGTACAGTTCTTTTATAAGCGTTCGAAAATGAGGACTGTCATGATTTCTGTAAACTTCGGTTTCAGCATTTGTAAACAAAACATTAGAAGTTTCTGCCTCAGCTATTTTCACACTTTCTATATATAAAAAAAAAAAAAAAACTCCCACGCAGAATGTGAACAAATGTTCTAATCTTGCACCAAGGAAGCAGACTTTGCGTCTGTAGAGCGATTCGCATTTCACTTTCATTAGTTCCTTATTTAAACAACAGGAGCAGCAGCATAGCTCTATATGACAGCCTGTCACCTCCGGGTGAGTAGGTAAATACATAATACATAGAAAATCCACTGTGAGCAATCCACACACAGCCTGACCCTATGACTAACAACACTGGAAAGGTGTAGTCTGTAACAGAATATATGCATAGGTTCTTTCGAAATTATAAAGTTCTGAAGGCTCCAAGCAGAAAGGAAAACCATCCACATACTACGCAAGTGCTACCAACTCAATTATTCAGTGCTACCAACTCAATTATTCACATACGCCCAGCAGTACACTACAGGCGATGTTAAAAGCCTTACAGCGCCTCTACAATAGAACACGTACTTATTTTACGTAGTCATCTTTTTTGTTTTCCAAAACAAACACTAAAATTGCAACCTAATGTATTCCTTACCACAGTTTTCACATAACTGCACAAGAATACATTGTTGAGAGAACAGCATACACTCAAAGGGAGTTAATTTTGAACAACAGAGCGGTCAACAAATGTAAATAGCCTACTATATTGTAATCGTAAAGTCCTGAGTTTGAACTAAAGTGTAGCCCACCCATCGACGCTCAAGTTTAAATGTTATTTTTTCGGATCCAAACTCGTCATAAACCTCACATGTCAAAGAGAATGTTTTTGATGGTCGCAGGCAGACATTATTAGATTCCTACCGCTTAAAAACAGAACTTGCATTTGTCAGTCAGCTGGTAATCCGTGAATATAAACACACAAGACGT